ATGCATGCATGCATACATACATATGATATAGAAAAATAATGTCTCTAACCTCATGAGAACCTGCATCCTAATGTTGAGGACATTTGTTTTGTACTGGCTGTCTTTATTCAGAAGGACTTTTTTAAGTTTGTTTTATGTTAAGCAATTTTTTTTAACTGAGCCTTTAAAGGCTGATTTATAGTCGTGGTTTGGAGCACGCGCACACTCTCCGGCAGTGGAGGTGTTTATACTTGGTGCTTATATTGCAGTAGGTGTCCTGATGCATCTCAGTAATCCAGGTAAAAAAATCAAAAAGAAAAAAATTGTATAGGTCTTCTGGACGGGTTCTTCTCTAATGAAACGTTTCATCTCTTCTCCAAGAGACTTCTTCAGTCTGAGAGTTTCAGGCAAAATTCAGGCTTTTAAGCCCTGCCTCCATGTGACTGATACTCACATCACTGTACATTGCAGTAGATTTCTCCAAATGGACACATGGAAGTATATTTTATGACTTGTGAAAATGTAAGTAGGAGAGCAAAATCTTGACAAACTATAAGAACAGTGCGCGTCACACGCAGCCTTTGCAGAGTTATAAAAATTTGGAGGCYCATGACCACACACCAGGACAGCGGGTGGGGACAGCACAATTGTCATTATTGGTGTGCGCCCGGCCTGATGCGTCAACTATAAACCTAGCACAACTCGACGCGCCACGCACCGTTCAGTTTGTTTGTTCATCATGCTTTTGCTCTACTGTTTACAACATTTCACAGGCCATAAAGTGTACTGCCACATGTACTTTTGGAGAAATCTACAACAACGTAAGCGCCAAGCCGGTGTGGACTGCGCAAGTAACCAAAGTGGTATAAAAACCCAGCCTATGTGGCACCGCAAAACAAGCATGCTGCAGTGACCACAGGGTTGAGCTCGGCAGCGCCTCTACAGGCCGGACCACCCGCCCATCCAGCCCACCGGGAAACCCCCAGTAGACATGTGTGCCAGTCTCCCCCTGCTGTGAAAAAGGCAGTGTACACCCTGGACAGGTCATACGTCCATCACGGGGGACACAGAGACAAATCACCATTACACTCTCACCACAACTAGGGACAATTTAGAGTTGTCAATCAACTTAACATGCATGCATTTTTGGTCTGTGGGTGGAAGCTGGAGTACCTGGAGAAAACCCATGCACGTACATAGAGAAAATGCAAACTCTACCCAGAGAGGTCCCCCATAAATCCAGTTATAATATCAGAGTAATATTAAAAAAAACTGTTAATAACAACGTTTGTATCTAATGTATGTTCATTGTAACAGGAACTCCCACCAGTGGTTGTGAATTGATGGGCAAAGCAGACATCTGGCTGATAAGAACCTACTGGGATTTTGATTTCCCTCGTCCACTCCTCCCTAATTTTAAATTTGTTGGAGGGATCCATGGCAGACCTGCTAAACCTCTACCAAAGGTGGGGTTTTATTCACTTTTGTACACCAAAAAAAAAAGAAAATTGTAGGTCAACATAGTGATAAAAATGTTCAGCTATTTATAAAAAGAAATCAGCCAATGAAATGTTGAAAGAAGAAAAAGCCTACTGTCTGACTTAGTGACTGGATAAATATTTTGTTCTTGCAGGATATGGAAGAATTTGTCCAAAGCTCTGGAGATGATGGCATCGTGATCTTCTCTTTGGGATCAATGGTCAAAAACGTCACCACAGAAAAAGCAAACATTATAYCCTCAGCCCTCGCACAGATTCCACAAAAGGTAAGATAAAATTCTGTAAATGTTGATTTGTATAAAAAATGTGTCTAAATGTATCTTTAATGGTTGCCAAATTAATCCACTGTAGTTCTTAGTCAACTTTAAAATGATGAATAATCTTCATCCTCGGGTTTGATTAATGAAAGATGACTTTCACAAATTGTTTGGTTAAATAGAGAAAACAGCTTTGGTATTAAATCCCTAGTTTGACCCTTTAAAACTAAATATGACGATCTTCTATTTTYTTATCTTATAATTGAAAATAAACAGTAAACACTATCACCTTCTGTTTGTAGGTGCTGTGGGGATACAGAGGGAAGAAACCAGACACTTTAGGTTCAAACACTAAACTTTACAACTGGATTCCACAGAATGACCTACTGGGTGAGTAAAGATATGCARCCATATTTCAACATAAATGGAAAGGACTTTTTTTAACCTGCACAAATTGTGAAAAAAAGTTATATAATATCTACACAGTCAGTATAGTATTAGTAGAGCTTAAGTGGAGTAGATTAGCTCCTACTGAATGAACTTTTCAAAACGGAATGGAGGGGAAACAAGCATTTTATTTTAAAGGTGTGCAAGTATGTCTGCATGTATTAAAAGAAATTTAAAATAAAAATACCAAKTCTCATAACATTGAGTTTATCAGGTGCTACAAGGTCTCTGGCTACATTTTTAGGGCTAAAATCATGAACTGGGACGGCAGCCCAGTCCACTACCATTTTAGAACATCTTGGTGGCACACGGGCACCTAATAATCACAGAGGGTCCACATTACAGAAGATGACACTCCCAGTCAGCTGATGTCAGAGTTYTGGATGTGTGGGATGGTGTAGCTGTTCCACTTTGATTTAGTGTCGTAGCATCAATAACATGGTGGTAACTGTCAACAAGCTTTTGAACAAGGTGGACAGATGAAGCCCYTTGGCTGCTGGAGGGACTGGACAAAACAACCAATGATAAACAGGAGGTCTGTTGAAATGATGGGGTGTCCTACACCATGTTTAGTTGTGAGGGCTGAGAAATTAGTCTAAATGACCGTTGGAAATGTGGCAAGAAGTTGATCAGAATCATTTAGGATATAATGTATAGAGTCAGCGCTGCTTAAGGTGAGTTAGTAAAAAGTAACTGACAGCAGAAATAYTATGTCAGCTCTTGGAGTCCACCTGCAACTGGAATCTGAAAATCAGCACCAAGTAGGGGAATGGGCATCTTAACTTTCACAAAATCCCAACAAGCCATCTGTCCACCAAAAGAAGGTTCCACATACATGATGTTGGAAGTMTATATAAGGCACTGAGTGCTGCTTATATTGGCGGGACATATACTGTAGGTCAAAATGTTAAAAGATTAAAAACACTTCGTAAGGATAATTTATAAAACAAATTATAAACGTTTGTTAACTTTTGCATTCATCAGGTCACCCTAAAACCAGAGCTTTTATCACTCACGGTGGAGCAAATGGGGTTTTTGAGGCCATCTACCACGGTGTTCCCATGGTGGGAATCCCAGTGTTTGCTGAACAACCAGACAATGTGGTGCACATGAAGGCCAAAGGAGCTGCAGTTCARGTTGACTTCACCTCTATGACAACTGAGGGCCTCAGAAATGCAATCAACATGGTCATCAATGATAAATCGTAAGTCTGAATACATGTATGCACAAAAACTGTTTTTAAAACAAATGCATTAGAAACAGTTTGGTTTAAATATTTACTCTCGTTTGCTAATTTACAGTGTGCTCAGACTTCCTGATTCCTCCTGTCCTAAATGTCTGCCTTTATTTCAGTTCAGCTAACAAAGCAAACATGAAGAAAACATAACAAAATAATTCTTTAACTCATCTGAAATCAGCAGCTGGCTGCTTGTGCTTCTCTTTTATGATGTAATGCACCATTTTTACCCCTACAATACATAACATAGAGTGATAGAAAAGTGTTTTAAAATCACAAAAATTTGCACTTGGATTTTTCAGATTCAACAGAACAACCTTAAACAGGAAAAAATCATTTTAGAAAAAAAAACATTGCATACAGGTCAGCTTGTGAAAGTTGATTTTAAACTGTATTTTATGAGTTGAGAGACATTTTTTAAGAAATGCCTGAGTTCGCTCAGCATTTATTATCACATTTGTTTCCCCTCACCCTCCTTTATAACCACTTTTATAACATACACTTTTAGCATAATGAACTCTTCTTTATTGTCAAGTTATGACAAAGAGACGTAACATTACCTCGTGGAGTCACATCATACATTTGGTGTAACACCGGCAGTAAGGACCAGGTTCTGTCATTGTTTTTTTAATGTCTGAATATTATCTATAATATAATTTTGATGTCTAAAATTATATTTTTATCATATAACTGCAAATTCTTACTTTTTCCATTCACAGCTACAAAGAAAATGCCCTGAGACTGTCCAGAATCCACCACGACAGACCCGTGAGTCCTCTGGATGAGGCAGTTTTCTGGATCGAGTTCACCATGAGACACAAAGGAGCAAAGCACCTGAGAGTCCAAGCCCATGAGCTCACCTGGTACCAGTATCACAGCCTGGATGTCCTGAGCTTCCTCCTCACTGTAGTTCTGCTTCTCATCTTCATCTTCATCAAGACCTGCAGCTTCTGTTTCCAGAGGTGCTGCGGCAGAAAAAAGACAAAGAGGAAGGCTGAATAACAAACTGAACTCAGATTTACTGCAGACAAATAATGACTGGATGAAACATGAAAGATGAGACCAGTCACATCTCCACCTTGAAGTTTATGTGGATATTGTTCTGTTTTGTGTTTTTAAATAACTTCAGCTGCAAACAGGAATTATATTTCCTTATTTTATAATTAAAGACTCATGATATTTGCCATATAACGAACAATCCTCACTGAGGACCTAATTAAGAATTGTTCTAACCATACAATCAACATCAGAACATTTAAATTTCTACATTTTTATTTGCAACTAATCTAATCTGATTGCATGAGCTTCATTTTATGATTTAATTACATGCTCTTGGCTGTATAAGTAACCTATTTCAAAGAAACATCAATAATACTGGGTGATGGACAATAAATCTAATCACTTTATCAGTACAAACATTTGCATATCTTGTACATTTTTCCACATAAATACTTTAAGAATCTGAAGTCTGTATATTTACGTTCTTTTTTTAATACTGAAAATGTGATATTTTTAAGAAATACCAATTATAAAAAAATCTGTCAGAAGAAAATATTTATCTACTTTAGAGCTGCAGAATATATTAAAAAATTAACAACCAGACCCAGCTAAAAATCATACAGACAGAGACCGGGGCTGTTTTTTACTTTCAGTTTATTAGTTTTTTAATTAGGAGGTTGTCTTTATTACTCTACTACTGCCTATTACCTTTTACCTCTTATCAGCTCAGGTATGTCATACAGTACAAAGATGACAAAGTCAGAGTTCATGTAGTTAATAAGTATCTTTAAGGTGCAGCTTTAAAGCACCGCAAACACATTTTCTGCAGACAAACAGCCACCATGGAGCCTCGTCTCTCTGTCTGCGTCCTGCTGGTCCTTTGTGTAACGGGGAGTGTGACTGGAGGAAAGATTCTGGTGTGGTACACCGAGGCCAGTCACTGGATCAACATGAAGCCGGTCCTGGAGACACTGGTGGACAGAGGACACCAGGTGACGGTCCTGGTCCACAGCTCGTCATTGTTCATGAACAGCAGTGAACCCTCTCGCTTTCAGTACGAACCCTTCAACGTCTCTCTCTCTGTGGAGGCTATAGAGAAATTTGTTGAAGACTTTCTTAACTTTTTCATGTATGAGATGGAACATTTAAACTACATTCAGATTTACATCAGATTTATAGAAATAATAAAAAAGAACATGCAAACTACTCTTACTCTTCTGGACGGTGTGGTGAAATCAGAAACCATCATGAAGAAGCTGAAGGAAGGAAACTATGATTTGCTCCTGGCTGATCCCATCTACCCTGGGAGTGAATTAACTGCAGATATTCTGGGGATCCCTCTGATTTTTTCTTTGCGATTTTCTATTGCTCATCACTGGGAAAGAAAATGTGGTCAGATGCCTGCTCCACCTTCCTTTGTCCCAGCTGCTATGAGTAAACTGACAGACAAGATGAACTTCTCAGAGAGAGTTTTTAACGTCCTCTTCTACGCTCTACAGGATATCGTAGTAGAACAGTTCATGTGGAAAGAGGTAGATAAATATTACTCAGAAATTAAAGGTAAGCGATGGAAAACATTACTGTCAAGCCAGACATTTTAAAAGTTGCTACCAATCATGATATCAGAATAATTTAAAAACTTTTTTTTAATGACTGTAATATCTATTTCATYTTCACTAACAGGAACTCCCACCAGTGGTTGTGAGTTGGTAGGAAAAGCAGACATCTGGCTGATGAGAACCTACTGGGATTTCGATTTCCCTCGCCCATTCCTCCCTAATTTTAAGTTTGTTGGAGGGATCCATAACAGACCTGCTAAAAGTTTACCAAAGGTGGGGTTTTATTCACCTTTATACATCAAATAATAGGTTAACAAATTGCTAAGCCTTTTCAAATATAAGTAAATTAATTTATGCTGAGGAAAGAGCGAGTTCTACTGGTTAGCTCAGTGACTTGGAAAATATTTTGTTCTTGCAGGATATGGAAGAATTTGTCCAAAGCTCTGGAGAAGATGGCATCGTGATCTTCTCTTTGGGATCAATGGTCAAAAACGTCACCACAGAAAAAGCAAACATTATAGCCTCAGCTCTCGCACAGATTCCACAAAAGGTCAGAGAGAAAATCTACAAGTGTTAGTTAAACTCAAATGAAATGTTTAAATGTGTCTTTTATTATCCACTATACAACAGTGCAGTTAGTCAATATACATTTTTGAATATTCTTAATTTCCAAATTTGTTTTTAGGGGACGTCCACAAATATTTTATTAAGTAGAAGAAAGTTTTAATAGTCTTCTGACACTTTAAAAAACACAAATTGAAGGTTTTCTATTGCGTTTTCTTGAAATTGTTTATAAAAATGAAAAAACTATTGCCTTCTCTTTTTTTAGGTGCTGTGGAGATACAAAGGGAAGAAACCAGAGACTTTAGGTTCAAACACTAAACTTTATGATTGGATTCCACAGAATGATCTACTGGGTGAGTAAAGATAAGATTACAGAATTCAACATCAATAAAAGAACAATGTATACCAGTCAATGTACGTATTTATACACACACACACAC